TATATATAAATATGTACATATATTTGTACTTGTACAAGCTATTAAAAAACAGGGGAAATCATAATTCTAATCTCAGGACAAGGGTCATTTTTGGGACTTTAAATGATCTTTGCAGCATGAACCTACTAATAATAACTCAATAGATAGATCAAAACTCAACAACAGCACTGCAATCACATGAAAAATAAGTATAAGCAGGGTGATGGCAAAAAAAAAGAGTAGAATGTAGATATTAGAAACTAAAATATAGAAATATAGCAAATCTCCGCACTTTTAAAAATTGTTTTCCCAGAAAAAAAAAAAAAGACACTCAGGTTTCCTTCCCTATCCCTGGCAGAATCAATAGCTTCCTCCCTTGTATTTTCTAAGAACTTTTATAATATTGCTTATAAATTTTATAAATTACTACCGTATTTCATGTGGCTAGTTGTTTTTGGCATCTGACCTAATGAATTTTTATTTTTTTCAGAATTAATATGTTGAGAAAATGATGCTGCCTGCTGTATTCCCTGCTGTTCCCCTGTTGCTCTCTTTCCATTCTCTCCAGCAAATAGTTGTTACACCACTTGTGCCTTTCTTTGGGCATTAAACATCATCGTTTTAAAGGAGTGGATGCCAGATGGCATTAGAGTCACTGAAGCACTCTCTAAACACTTTATAGCCCTATGAACTCTCTCACGTATGCTGAAATGGAGTCACTAGGACTGGGGCTAGGACCTTAACCATTTACAAGCATCCGAAGTGTTTTGGACTCATACTAATATTTAGAATCTGTTCTAAGTTACAAGGTAATCAACTTTATATGTTGTTATTTTTGCTAACTTATAAAAATTTTAAAAAGTATCCTCTAAATTTAAGCATCATATAAATCTTCTAGCCTGGATTTGACAAAATTTTAGGAATTAATTTAGAGTTCTGTGTCCTCCATATTATATATCCCAACCCTTGGGATATATTTAAAGTTGAGTCAGATATTGAAGAATGCAGAAGTAAGATTTTGTCCATTGAGACATGTGTTTATGTGAATTTATTTTCATGGCTCTAGGCATAATTGTCATTTTTGCTTTACAAGTAGACAGACAGTTTTGTGTGAATATAATCATCTTAACTGATACTATGAGATATTACTTCTGCTTTTCCCCTTTTTCCCTTTTCATATTCTGGATCCCAACTTAGCTAGGGATTCTCAAATCTGCTATATTAATTTATAGTAGAGAACAAAGAAATTTCTATTCATACATGCTTAGCTGATATGTCCC